TCAAAGAAACCTTAACATGATTGGTACGTGTGAAAATAATGTTGTGAAAGTATTTTCACGTGAAGTTCAGGTGCAAGAGGTTTTCACACATCCGTAATCAATTGGTTTGAAAGAAAACCCCCATCTAATAACATGGGGGAGTTTTTTTATGTGAAAATATTTTTATAGAAGTATATTCACACGCACCAAACACACCTAAGTGTTTGATTGTGGGGAACGTGCTACCTACATGACATTTCCTTCATTCGATTTTGGGAAAATACCCAACCCATTAACTGTTTTATGCTATTTTTTCCTTAAGATCGAGTATTTTAGGTGGATCTTGGAGAAATTGAATAGAGTCGAATCATATGGGGAAATCTAGATAGCATCGCTTGAATAGGTTGTCCCCGGGAACCAGGAGCCTTGGAAAATGGAAATTTTGAAAGTTGGGATCTTTTGTTTGGTACGTCGTTTGTACCAGGAGAAGGGCTAGGTCATGGTGGTAGCACCTTCATACCTAGTTACCACATTATGGTTTCCAATCCTGTTGACATCACCCATTGACACGTTAAAAAAAACTAACTCGCTAATCTACCTGAAAAACTGGTAGGGGCTAGTTTTCCCCACTAAATTACCTAAAAATATGGAAGAAAAAAAACTTGTATGTATTCACAAGTTATTTCAATTTTGTTTGTTTGGTTAAATTAGAAGCTTGAGAATTTGGAAATCCGCTTATTTTAACATATGAGTAATGTTTTTATAGGACCCTCCCCCACCCATGTATGTAGGACCTTAAAGGATATCTAAAAAAATTATCATATGGATGTGTGACTTGACTTTTCTATAGATCCGTGCCAAATTTAATGGTGATTCCTTGGGGTCCTACACACATAGGGTGGGAGAAGGTCCTATAAGATCATTTCTCTTAACATATTTGTTACAAAGGTCATAGATTAGAGGTTGAAGTTTGTCTATTGAATGAGATTTTTTTTGTCATAAGATATACTATGTATTAGTTACAAAATAAATGGTTCAAATCAAATAATCTTGATTCAATTAATCACTAACTCACTCACACGGGATGCCTTTGTTGGTTTTCTATTAATTGGGTCTAGTGTTAGAAAGTTCGATTTGGATCAAGTAATCAGTCTTCGCCCGAGCCGATTACTCGGGCCGAGTCTAAGTAACTCGATCTGATTAGTGTAAAGTACTGTAGCAACAAAAAAAAAGATAAAAAAATAGGAAATGTACGTTTGAAGTAAGATGAAGAAAAACATTTTAAAATGATGTTAAAAAATAATAAAACCATAAATTTTTTTAAAAATTGTGACTGGGGGTGTTTTTGAAACACTTAAAAAATGTAAAAATGTAAAAAAAGTATTTATGACCAAAACACTTTCCAATCTTTGCCAAAATGATAGAAAACATATAAAAACGTAGCCCAATAAATTCTTTATTTTTTATATCTTTTATAATTTTTAATTTGTTTTAATATCCTTGAGTTGGATACCTTGGGACAACTGAGGCTCGGCAAGGGCCTAAGCCTGAGTAACTCGGCTTAGTAGAAACTACTCGGCCGATTTCTCAATCACTGTTTGGGTTGGACAATCTTTCAATTACTGTTTGGGTTTACTCTTACGCTCAATTGGTAATTGCTATTTACAGCATTCACCTCTTCATAGACATGGGTTTCTATCAAACATGAAACCCATCCGTCACTGCAATGGGCTTTTAATGCGGTTGATAGATGAGACATCTAAAATATGACCACAGGCTTAATATAAACTAGTTTGAGAATTTCAAAGCCCTTCCATACATACAATTTTCTCCCAATAACTATATTAAATAATTTTATCTCAAACAAATCATACGATGACTCCAATATGCTAGAAATTCTCATCAAATATACCACAACCAATTAATTACATGAATGTGTTTACGGCTGAAATGCCTATAGCTACATGGTTCTAAAGAACTCTACCGAGAAGGGAACTTTGGAAAAGATAATTGTGCCCCACACACTTTCTTGTGTTGGTTCTTTTATTCTATATATAATGGTAATACAATGGTATAGTGTACACTTTCCGATCTTTCCCTTTTTACTATCGATGATAGAGTTCTTTTGTACTCATTTCCTTAATCAAAAAACCATTTGATGATAATTAAAACATAAAAGAGAAATTTGTTGTAAATTGATTAACAAAAAACAAGTTCTTTTTCATTACAGGCACCAAAAGAACACTAGGAACCTTGAATTTTGTAGATCCAATAGCAATATTTGCATCACTAATATGTGAAATAGTTAATTATTCGTCATTCCCAACGATGATTGTATTTGTGCCTTTAAAGAGACGAAGATTTTGTAACTTACCTGGATATCCTGTCATATGAGTGGAGGCACTTGTGTCCGGGAACTATTATGAGTCTTGTGAATCAACTATAGTCATTGCAGCAAGTGTCTGAGGAATATCTCCTGCTTGGTACTTGTGGTTAAATCGATGCCAGTACTTGAATGCAGTATGTCCAAGTTTCCCACAAATTTGACATTTTTCCCGAGGTGTCTGAGCAAACTATTGTATCTAGGAATCTTATTGGAAGGCTTGATCCATGTGTCGTGGAGAAAGTGTATCACCACTTTCTTAATTTTTCTGGTTCACTCCATGACTCACATGTTTTATTTGATTAATTTGATCAAAACCACGATCCTTGAGAGTTGAAGAACTGTTGACTACTAAAGTTGTTTCTCCCTCTACCTCTGTAATTCGGTTTACGTCAGTTGCGTCCAAAAAAAAAATTGTTGTCTAACAAAGGCTATATTTTGACTTATCTATGAGTATTCATCAGAGATATAGGGCTGATTTCTAATCTCATGGCTTTGAAGAAGATGTATAATTTCATAATATAAAATAATCAGATGTTGATGATTGATGTCTTGTATTCTGAGAGAAAATATCTACCAAAGGTGGAGTCAAGGAGACGACTCCGGAGGGCCGTTAAAAGCCCGAAGGGCTTGAGGGCTGGAGGGGTCGTCCTGCTAGGTAGACTAGGTGAACTCGGCCCCTATGGGGGTTCGGGGGCGGTAGCCCCGAGGGAAATTTTTGTATCCGTACATGGGGTATTTCGGTATTTTGTACCATTTATCTGAGACTCGATATATATTGTTGCAATAGGGGGTCATTTAGGGTTAAAGAAAAAACACAGATTTCTTTATAATCAGAGTGAACATAGATGCATGAGGAATAGAGCTATTGTAACCCTATTCTCTATTGCCAATAAATAAGCTATCATCTCCCATGGACGTAGGCACGTTACCGAACCATATATATCTTTGTGTTGGTTGGTCATCTCTTTCTTTTGTGTTTGTTTCTTATTTCTTGTTTTTGTGGATTACTTTTAGGGTTTTTTACATCGGATGCTTAAACATAGTGGTAGCAAAACTCTCATAGTTTGAACACTTTCCAATCTTGTTACATTCTACAATGGTAATATTTTGGTTATATTAAGTTCTCCCTGAAATCGTAGCAATTGATTGGACATCTAGGGGTAAGTAAAGCACAGTTTTATTGCGGGCCATGAGAGCAGTACCAAATCAAAGCGAACTCTGAATAATTTTGCAAACAAACTTGAAAGCCTATCAAATAAATTCATCTAAAAAAACTTCTCAATTGCATCCTCAATATAATTGAAAGCCATGTTAAATACATATTTGATGTCCAATTATATATTTGAAGTGAAATGTGGAGCCAGACAATGTCATGCTTAGCTGAAAATGGATGGCAAATGGTTAACTGGTTACTCACTTTCACAATTTGCATACAAAACCTGGTGATGGAGGACCATGCTATCCTTGCCTCCAATGGCCGAAAGAAAAAGAAAAAAAAAAGAGTACTGGTAAAACCTAAAGAAAGAGATAGAAATCTTAACCTCTCTCTTGCATCATAAGTATTTATAGTCTTAACCCTAACCAGAATGTGATTTGGGCCACCTATTACAAAGCTTACATAACAAACATGGCTCACTCTGGCTTTTTGACAAAATTGGATATCATAACTTTGTATGCATGCATTTAAAAGACCTTTTCATAGAGTACCAATAATCCTAATTCTACCTGCATTTTGAAAGTTAAAAACATTTTGAAAGCCCACTGCTCACAATTGGCTACATCACATGAGTTCAGCCCTTGGGCTCTAAGTCCACCTCAAATCGGGTCCAAAGACCAAGTTTAAAGCCCTAATTCCATTATGCGAAGAAAGTTCTTACCTTCTCGTCTTACCAACAAAAAATAGGACTCTCAATTACCAATATTCTAAGGACACTGTTTGTATGAGTCCATGTAAAAGTGAGTACCTATTTTTGAGATAGATTTTTGAGCCTAATTTTTAAAAATATAGTGTCTTTAACGTAGAGATCATGAATATGAAAAAATAAAAAAATTGAAAATAATAATTTTATAAAGAAACAGTTGGACCGATTAGTTTTAACTGTTTTTAGATGGACCATCCATTTTTAAAACCTCAAGGGAAGCAAATGTAGAAATGTGTCCCCCCATGAGACAATTTTCCATATTTTAAATAATCATAGGGCCAAATCACACTTAAAATGTCATCTATCTAGAATTTCATCCATTAACACACCTAAATTATCAATTATTCTAGCTCATGTCCCATGTCCTTTGATGAAACTATTGTAATGATAGAAATTTATCAAAACACATTTTAAAATACATCTATTTAACATTTCACATTCATCAAAACACACATGAAATCTCAAATTTCTAACTCATGATCACGTATCATTTGATGGGGTTTTCAAAATTAAATAGACAAAAAAACCTAGGATTAAATACTTCATAAGAAGAAATAGTTAAGATATTAAATAGTTAATATATTGAATACTTCATATTTGACAAATTTATTTGAAATGAAATCAAAATATAAAGGAATAAAATGATATTGATAAATTTCCCTAAATAATAAATACCACCAAAAACCACTATACCCCTAAGGTCTCAACTACTATCATGGTCTCCCTTACACAGGCTTACCTGTCTGCCTCAACTCTCTTCCGATTAAACCCCCACCATGTGAGGCTCCCTTCACTCTCTACAAATCTCAGAAGACTCTTTTACACCTCCTCCTCTTCTTTCTCTCTCTACAAAAACACCCACTCCTTTCTTTCTCAACATTCAAATTCTTTCCCTGTTCTTGCTGCTGCTTCTGCCTCAAATAGGAGAAATAGCGGTCTCCCCGTCAGGAGAAGAAGCAGTACTTCTAGAGATAAAAAGGAGGGTGAAGAGGGGCAGAAGAGAGAGGAAATGGAACCTGTGTTTAATAGGAAGCGAGCTGAAGGGAACGATAGGGACAAGCCGAAGAACCTTCAGTTGAAAACTCGCAAACCGAATCCCGTTAATACTATATGTTATGTTCAGGTAAGTGAATCTGAGTTTTTTTTTTTTTTGACATTTTTGCTTTGCTGGGGTGAATAGAAATTCGTGTTTTGACATTTTTGCTGGGGTGAATAGAAATTCGTGTTTTGCTTTGAAATGTCTGGTTTTGAAATTTTGGGTTTTTATTTTTTTCTGGTAAAAATATGTCTCAGCTAAGGGATATTTGGGTGTCTAATTTTATCTGTCTGCATTATTTCTCCTTTTTTTTGTTTTTTTTTTTTATCATTCTGCATGGAAATAGTAAATAGAGTTATGGTGGGTGTTGGCTTGAAGCTTTTTTTCTTTTTTTTTTTAGGTTTTTTGGTTAAGATTTATCACGAGGAATAGATATTTTGGGACTTTAAATTTCTCCCTCAATGGTATTCTCCGTTTCTTTGATGGGTTTTTTCATTAGGACTTTCTGGTGTTGATTAATGGCCTTTGTAATGGGTTTTGGTGATCGAATTTTTTTTTCATCTTTTTTTTTTTTCCCCCTTATTGGTGTTATTTGGTGGGTTTTGTTAATGGGTTTTCTATACTGATAACTGCTTTTTTGGGATAGATTTTGGGGACTGGAATGGATACACAAGACACTTCTCCATCTGTTTTGCTGTTTTTTGATAAGCAAAGATTCATATTCAATGCTGGAGAGGTAATGATAGAGGAACTCTTGCTATAGATTCAGACGTATTTCTTTTAATTTTATTTTTTTCGTCATTTCCTTTTCCTTTTCCTTAGTATATGCTATTCATTAGATTTGCTCGACCACCTTCATAAAATTTAGAGTATTAGCAGGTTCGTATTCAGAGCTGGAGAGGTAATGATAGAGGAACTCTTGCTCATAAACTCTGATGAATTTCTTTTGGTTTTTTTATCTTTCTCTTTTCCAAAGTATATACTCTTTTATTAGTTTTGCTCGACCACCTTCATGAAATTTTTATTAGTTTTGCTCGACCACCTTCATGAAATTTTTATTAGTTTTGCTCGACCACCTTCATGAAATTTACAGTTTTAGCAGGATTAAAAGGATGCTTCTTGACTCACTACTAGAAAAATTTGGTGTACCAGGGTTTGCAGCGTTTTTGCACTGAGCACAAGATTAGATTATCAAAGGTACGGTGAATATTCTTTAAGATTTGTTTCTAGTGATACATATCAAAAATAGAAAAAGATTACAACAATTTTGATTAACTGGATTCTCAAAAAAAAAAAAAAAACAGAATTGATTAACGGGATTCAGTTAATGATAAAAAATGATTATTTGTTAAGTGTACCCATTCAAGTACACTGATGCAGGTACACATGGATAATTGTATAGCTTCCACTGACTTGATTGTGATAATTTTTTGTTTTTTGTATTATAGTTATTAAGTATAAGGAAAAAAGCAGCCTTAGTTATGCTGTGTTCTTATTTCAGATTGATCACATGTTCATGACTCGTGTTTGCTCAGAAACTGCTGGTGGCCTTCCAGGTCAGTACTTATCGATTGTTTATAAGGCAAAATGGCAAATATAGCGTAATCCAATGGACCAAGGGTTCCCACAGGGTTCATTACCATTCAATGAAATAGCCAATGGTGATGAAGAGTGAGTGGTGCTCACCTTTTGGTTCTTGTTCTTTTCTGGTGGGTCTCCTCCTCCTTCACCGTCCCATTATTTCATTGAATGCTGATGATCCCCATGGGTCATGGTTTCCGTTGTCCGTCGAATTATAATGTACCTTCATTTATATATTGCCATTGGTTAACTTGGGTCATTAAAGTCATTGTTCATCAATATGATATTTTTTATAATGGGCTTTTACATGAGAGGTTTACCTGAATGTTGCATAGGTCTGCTCTTGACGTTGGCTGGCATAGGAGAGGAAGGGATGACTGTAAGTAATAAGTATCAATTCAAACGTTATGAATTTGCCTATGTTTTCTTCAAATTCGTCGATAGCTTAGATAGCTCTACAATTTTGTACTGGAGCCATCATAATCAACGGGGTAGCCATTCAAAAAATGGGTTTTCTTTCCTTCCTGTAATAGCAAAGGAAAGTATACTATGAATTCAATGGATTACAGAAAACCATAGCCCAATAGTGTCATGATGTCCAATGAAATGTGAGTGGCAAGGAGGAAGAGAGTGGTACCCACAATTGTGGTCATGTCCTGTTCTGGTCTCCTCTCTCCCAATCATTGCATAATTTGCATTAGATGGTGACAACCCAAATGGACTCTGGATATGCCATAGTCCATTACATTGTTGTATATGGCAACATATATATGTTCGTTCTTCATTGTTATAATTTGTAATTTCTGTCTTGTAGATCAAAATTTGGGGTCCTTCTGATCTCAAATATCTAGTAGATGCCATGCGTGTATTCATTACAAGGTCTGCTGTGGTGCACACTCATAGTTTTGGACCACCTGCTAATGCCAGTGAAACTATAGGCTTATATAGAGAGCCCATTGTTCTTATTGATGATGAGGTCATCAAAATATCAGCGATTCTTCTAAGACCTAAAAGCTCCAAAGGTGACCAAAATATCGGAGTTATGGGTTCAAATTCACAAGAGAAGTTGGGTTATTTTCCGAAGGCACCGACCAAGGAAGATACGGTTTCCAAGCCTGGTGATCTTTCTGTTGTTTATGTTTGTGAATTGCCTGAAATTAAGGGAAAATTTGATCTAGCAAAAGCTGTGGCCCTTGGTTTAAAGGCTGGACCAAAATACAGGGAGTTGCAGCTTGGGAATTCTGTTATGTCTGATCGTAAAGACATCATGGTGAGCAAAAATTTCGCATTCCTTTTATGCATCATCTCATCATCATTGTCGTCATCATCATCACCATCACTGCTATTATTATTTGAATTGGCCAGTATTCTTGAAATTAGACTGGAGCAGCCAGTTAAACCTGGTTGAAGGCTTGAAGCCGAAATAACCCAAATTGGGTTCTTTTAATTGGACTGGTTAGCCTTCTAGGTACAGCCAGATTGACAAAGCTGGCAACTTATGGGCATCCCTTCCGTGACTGATGAAACTAACATCAAACTGGATTGTTCTGGGCTCCCACTCTAGAGCCAATTAAAAGGCCCAATCTGGTTACTAGAGGTTTCAAAAAAGAAATATAAAACACACAAGACTCATACCTTCACTGCCTGGGACTGCATACTTATCTGGTGCAGTCAGAACTATGCAGTTTTTGGTGATGTCCAAAAGCCAAACCTAATATACATCATATCATTATTAATTCTATAAATGGTGTTTGGGGGAGGTGTGATATTTCCCACATATTTCCCCTTGGTAGTTCGGTAAAGTTCCTCCAATCAATCTGGGGCTTGTTTGTCCCTGGAACTGCCATCAAAATTCAATTTGATGGTGTTTGGGGGAGGTGGGATCCAATAATATCTTTTGCACTTTGGGGTCCAAGCTATATTTTGCTAATGCAGATGTAGATTTCTATGTGTATAGCCTCATAACTCTTTTCTTGCGATTTACCAGTCAATAACACAACCGAAATCTTTTCTTTGATTTTGGCTGAACCAGAGTTTTGACCTTAAAAATTTGTTGCATTTCTTCAAAACCAAATTAACCATAATATGGGTTCTGACCTTGAAAAGTCCTTGCGTACTATTACCTGAGCTACTTTGCAGAGGAGAAAAAGTTGATGCATTGTTTCCTCATAATACCCTACATATGATGCACCTATTAGTTATAGGCATGCCATGGGTTCTGAGGATCTAAGAAGGGTGAGGACCTTGAACTTTCCCTTGACCCGTCCCAAGCCCGGGTAAAAGAGGTGGGCTGCGTTAGGTAGACAGCCGGCATAAAACTTTGCCACATCTTGAAATGGAGGACCAAGATTCATATAGCTGACTCCAATTATCTGGGATAAGGCTGATGATGATGATGATCATTGTTAATTCTATAATGTGTTGCTTTTAATAATTTTTTAAAAACTTGAACTCCATTCCCAACTGGAACAAAGCCAAACCCCATTTAGTTTGTATTTATTTGAAAATCTTTCAAAAAACTAGTGAGTTTTCCAAATCTGGTAAAATATATTGTGTCATCGACAAGTTTCAAAGTTGGGTGGAGTACTTACTACCACAAAAACTACAAGGTGTCTGACTGTCTGCATATAAATTCTGAAACCTAAAAGGTGTCTGCATATAAATTCTGGTATATTTAATATAACCAAACTAGAGTTTTCTAAAACTCATTCATGCTCCAAACCAAATTTGCTGGAGCGAGTGAAATCAACTTGTGTTCACTTTTATATACTCGTTTTAATAATAGTTTTATTTCTTATGTAGGTCCATCCAAATGATGTGCTCGGCCCTTCATCTCCTGGACCCATAGTTATTCTTGTGGACTGCCCCACATTATCTCATGTGCAGGATTTGGTGTCACTTTCATCTCTTAATGATTATTATGTGGATTCTTCAGATCCATCTAAAGGGAGTAAGAAGACTGTGAATTGTATGATTCACTTGGGTCCTTCTTCTGTTACAAAGACTGCAACTTATCAAGAGTGGATGGCTAGGTTTACTGAGGCCCAGCATATTATGGCTGGTCATGAAATGTATGTCTTCTTACTATTTATGTTGGTATCTATAGTATTGAGAATGAATAGCCAGTTTCAATATAGGATTGGCTAAATTAATCGAAAAAAATATTGTTGTTCATAATTGAAAAAAGGGTTGTTTGTCTTGAAACCAATTTTCAAATTCTAACTGGATTAGAGACCTAAGCATCGATTAAAGTGTGCTTCTTTCCTATTTTCATTTAGAGAAATTCATTTAGAGAAATCTATACACATGTCCCCCGAAAATATCGTTATTATAGAAATCTGCCCCGAATTTTTGTTATTACATTATACCATTTTTTTCTCTATCATCCTTCCCCCCTCCCCCCCCCCCCCACCCAAACAAAAAATGCCCTACTTCGGACCTTCAAGGTCCACAGTGAGAAGGCCATTGTTCGCAAAACCGGCCGGTCCAAACCGGAACCTGCCGGTTAGATCGGTACCGGCAAGGTACCGATACCGGTTAAGGCCGGTTTTGCGGTACTACTCAATAGACGCTTATCTTCAAAAAAAATTGGTACAAAAACCGGCCAGTTCGATATTGAACCGGCGATATTTTCTAAAAACCGGCCGGTTTTCAGCTTACCAGACCGGTTCGTCGTTATAACAACGTTTTAGGGTAAATAACAGTAACTTATAAATAACATCGTTATTTTAAAATTCAAACCGTTATTTGTAGAACGAAAACTGTGAATCCAAATTTCACCACTTTTTATTCAGTTTGCGGCAATATTTTGGTTTTTTTTCGTGTTTGAATGGTTTAAATCACTATATAATGAATCTAAAACAATAAATTTGGATTTAAACATTGAAAAAAACGAGTTTCTTGGATTGAAATGGCGGATTTTTTAGGTTTTTGAAAACTTCTGCCATTCTTTCAATAATTTCCTTAATACCTAATGATTCTTCAAGAAAGTTGAGGAGTTTGATTGCTATTCGAAGCATTTACTAGATTCAACTTTAATTTGATCATAAAACAAAAAAATAAAGGGTTTAATGGTTGCTGCTCCAAGAACCTGTGTTCTACCCAAATTGCGGATTTTTTGTCCATTTATTGGTTGTTTGTTATCAAAAAAAGTTGTGTATTTCAATAATTGAGGCTTTATAGCTCAAATAAAATTACTATGTTTATTTATTATTGAGTAAATTTTTTTATATCAATTTTTTCGTTGCATCATATAATGAAAATTTCATAGATCTTGAATTTCCGCATTTTCTTCAATTAAATAAAAAATTACGAATATTTTTTGATGATATTGGGTGCGTTTGAAAGATAATCAAAGCCTTTACAATGCATGTATGTTTATTTTTTCGATTATCCAAACATTGAGGGTTGTTTCTTGCTCAAAATGTTGCTTCATTTTTTGGGTTTTTGAAAAGTTGATTTTTCTAAAAAAGATATTTTGTTGAAGAAAATTATGTTTTTTGATAAAATTGAGAAGTGTTTTTCTGTTGTGCTTAATAAATTATATTTAATAGAATTATGATTTTTTAATAAAATTACATTTTTTTGATGAATATGAGAAGTATTTTTCTATTTTGCTTAATAAAATTATTCCTTTGATAAAATTTTTTTTTGATAAAATTGACTCTTCTTTTTGATAAGTGCATGATAATGTCGCTCGATTTTTTAGTTATCTTTTTTTTTTAAGTTGATATATTTATACTTGTAATTATGGAAATGGGATATTTTGTTTTTTAAAGTGCATGTAAAAATTATGGTTGCCTTATGTTCAATGAAACACTACACTGTCTTGTATGTGCTTTGTTCTTCTCCTTTTTCTTTATTTATTTTTTTTGTTCATTCTCTATCAAGTTTTTGGAATGTTATGGAAATAGCCTTTAAAAGATCAACCATTTTTTAAAAAATCGGCCGACTAACTCGGGATCAGTCACTGGCCGATCCTGATCTGGCCCGATTCAAGAGAGAGAGAGAGTTATACAAAGATCTTAATTTCAAATCATCCCTCATTTGATAAATTGATTTTTCTAAAAAAGAAAAATTTCATTTTGCTTAGTAAAATTATATATTTTTTTATCAATATGGGAAGTTTTTTCTATATTATATGACAAAAATATCTTCAAAAAAAATATCCTAAGCTATTTTCAGGCACAGGACCATAGTATTTGAATATTACTTTATAAAAAGTTGCTTCAATTTTTTTTTTGTAAAATAAATATATGTAATAAGATATTATACATTTAGTCTAAATATTTTTAGTTTTTTTTTTTTGAAATTTTTTGGGAGTTTTTGACCCTTTTTTTTAAAAAAAAATCAACTTGACCGGTTAGTCCGGTTAACCACCCCGGTTAGTCCGGTTCCGGTTCAAACTGCTTCCAGCCCCATGTCCAGTTAACCGTTCCGGTTTGATTTTGCGAACACTGGAGAAGACAATCTTTAGCTTTGGATTTTCAAGATCCGAAGCTAAGACTTGAAGTCTTGGCTTAAGTCGGAACTCACTTGACTTAAAAAAGATTGCGAAAGTTTTGACTTTCAAGGTCCATAGTCAAGACTTGTTGAAATGACTTCAGACTTTGAAGATACAAAGTCATTTTGAGAAAATTTGACTTCAGACTATGAAAGTCAGAATTCAGTAAAAGAATCATAGTAAAAAAAAAGTTGTAACTTCTGTCTGAAAGTCATTGTTACTTCGGACTTTCAAGGTCCAAAGTGGGGACATTTTGGGGAAAAAGGGGAAATAATTTGGACATAAATACATAAAATGGGGTTTTCTATAATAACGGTTATGTAGGTTGACATGAGCGTAAATTCTCTTTCTTTTATATCAAATGTGCCTCTAGATCTATTGGCTATCTATCAAATGCCTTTAATTCTCTGGGACTGTTTTATATCTATTGATGTATGAACTGCTTCGACTGAACAAATTGCAGAAAAATAAGAAGCTTTCAGAACAAAGGCAGAGATCACTTATATCTCTCGTAACCTAAATGAAGCCAAACTGTGTTGTGCAACTTTGAATCTTGTATGCACAACCATCAGGAAAATAACATCCATTTAAGTGGTAGAATCAAGGATGATTATTCAGAAAAGGGCAAAATATCCTTTATTTATGGACGTGAAAGTACCCATGGTTTCTTAGTTGTGGCTGAAGTACTTGGGTTTTTCATAATCATCCAAACTATCTTTACATAAGTAACCAAACTAGCTCTAACTACACCTTACTCGCGTATTCACTGTTCCATGTGTATGCAAGCTTTCTTTTGAAGATTGTTTCATGCATCTCTGATTTCATTTCTAATTTTCTATATGAATATATTCATATCTTGCTGATTTTCATGTGCAAATTTACATACAGTGTTGTCCTTCCTTTCATTTCTTACTTCTCTGCAGAAAGAACATAGAAGTACCAATTCTATTAGCCAGTGCTCGATTCGCTTCTAGGTTTAATTATCTCTGCCCACAGCTGTTCCCATCTCCAGGATTTTGGTCTCTTAATCAAGTTGACTACCATCCAGTGGACCCCATTACTTCAAGTGAGGTTTGTTCTGTTGTTTCTCCTTTGAAGTGGAAGGCCTGGTAGTTACAAATATCCTGTTATGAGTACAGTTTGGCACTTACTTTTAACATGTTCAAATCATCTGAGATGTTCATTTCTTTTTCCTAGGCTGTTCCATCAAGTATCTGCAAAACTATACCTGCGGAGAATCTTCTAAAGGTATGTATGAGCTAAAGCTCATATATTTTTGACTGTGACATTAGTCACTTGATTTTACTTTGTGTTTCATCTTTTTCGTTCTTCTTCTTCTTCTTCTTTTTCTTTTGGTGGTGGGGGGGTTGGGGGGCCGGAAGGATATATACTGAATCAAATTCTACTATCCTCTGCACATAATTATGCTGTCCTATGTGATGAGCCATAGAACCTTGGAAGTTCCTCTCTCTCTCTCTTTCTCTCTCTTGCCCCATTCATTAGGTTTGTTGATCAATCAAAACAGTATTATATTCATGTTTCTTCTAGAAGTGTTCTATTGATTACTATAATTCAGGAAGAATGAAGCATGAAGGTGATGCCATTCTCTTAAGTGCCTTCTAGAAGTGTTCTATTGATTACTATAATTCAGGAAGAATGATGCATGAAGGTGATGCCATTCTCTTTAGTGCATAATTTCCATTGGAATACTGTCTTGAGGTGATAGATGTAATCTTGAACATTACGTGAATACAACTTAATCATCCTGTTGATGTTTATATAAATCCAGAATTTTGTTTGGTTTGTTAATGATATATTCTCATCTTACTTACCTACATAACTTCTTATTTGAGATTCTCTAAAAAACATTTCTCATGAGATCAATGAGGGCAGGAATGGAAAGAATATATTTAGATTCATATAGTTGTCGTGGGATATCAGCTTTAGAAAGTTTGACAGCTGATAATTTTGGCAGTTGATCTAGTGAGAGACTGTGGAATCAGGCATTAGAGAAATGGTGTCCTCTGTTGTGTTATTCATGTTTCCTTTTCACATTGAACCAGACTTGATTACCCAAAACAAACGATTTCTTATTTTTGTTATGCCTTTTAGGGTTTATAAGGGGCCTCTAAATGATTTTTACATCTTTTTCCTCATCAATTGAACTTCTGCAGTAATGAACTTTTATTTTATTTTATTTTATTCAGTTTCAGCTGCGCCCATTTTCCCAGCTTGGGTTGGATAGATCTGTGGTTCCAAGTGCATTGACCCCAAAAGAGGCTATTGATGAGCTACTTTCAGAGATTCCCGAAATTGTTGAAGCTACGGAATGTGTTAGGCAACTGTGGAGAAGGGCTGAAAAGGCTGTGAAACCCATATCACATGCACCCAATAACTCTGTTGTTGAAGAGCCTTGGATGAATGAAAATGCTTGCCTAACTACCTCAGGATCAGAGAATTTTAGTTCCAGAATACGCAGTAATGGTGACGTGGAAATTTATGACTCTTATATACCAAGATGTCTGGAACATATAACAAGGGAAGATTTGGAAATTGTTCTTCTTGGAACTGGTTCATCGCAGCCATCCAAATATCGCAATGTCAGTGCTATTTATTTGAATCTCTTCTCGAAAGGAAGTATGCTTCTAGATTGTGGTGAGGGAACTTTGGGGCAGCTGAAGAGAAGGTATACTTGTTTGATTTTCTTGGAACTTTTGCCGTGATTGTCTGAAATATTCTGCTTCTTTTCCCCTTCATGGACTGAAAGATTTCAAATTTGATTGTTTACTTTTGTGAATTTTCAGTCTTTTCCTTACCTTTTAACTAAAGAAATATTTCTTTTTAACACCAAATTCCAGCAAAGTATTGGTTGAAAGAAAACTTGTAACTTTTGCACATTAACAGTGTGCACTGGTCTCTCTCTCTCTCTCTCGCTTGCTATATATGTATGCTGCTCTCGCTTGTTATATGCTGATGGATGGTGGGCTTTTTCCCTTTCATTTCAGATTTGGTGTAAAGGGTGCAGATGATGCTGTGAAAAGATTGAAATGTATTTGGGTTTCTCATATTCATGCGGATCACCACACAGGCCTAGCCAGGATACTTGCTCTGCGTCACAATTTGCTGAAACATGAACCCCATGAACCCTTGCTTGTTATAGGGCCAAGACAACTAAAGATATTCTTGGATGCTTATTCAAGACTTGAGGATTTAGATATGCAGTTCTTAGATTGCAGACAAACAACATTGGCCATGAAAGATGCTCATGGTGATCCTCTTAAAATGAATGTGGGGCAAAATAGTAAATTTCTTGAAACAATACATGGGCAAAATGGTTATTTTCCTGAAACGCAAAATGGGAAAAATGATAATTCTCAGTTTGTGTCAGATGATGAAGAGTTCATGGAATTGGGAGGAATAACAGAAAGAGATGACAAAGTTGGGCATGTATCACCTCGAAAGTCGACACTGTTTGAAGGTGGTAAAATGCAAAGCTTTTGGAGAAGACCGGGATTTCAGGGCAATATTTTTGTTGATATTTCAGGGATTCAGAAATTGAAGTGTGTTTTATGTGAATTGGGGTTGGATACTTTGATCAGTGTCCCAGTGGTGCATTGTCCACAGGCCTTTGGAGTGGTTTTGCAGGCTGCTAATGGAAAAAACAGCTTAGGAGAGATGATACCTGGTTGGAAGCTTGTATATTCAGGGGACACGAGGCCTTGCCAAGCTTTGATTGAAGCGTCTCAAGAAGCCACTGTTCTGATACACGAGGTACGTCTTTGGAAGTAGCCATCTTGTTTCTTTCTAAAGAACATTGGGTTCTTTGCATTGTAGTTAGTGTTGTCTGCAGGGGATTGGTTGTTAAGGATATTCAGGTAGTTCTTAACTTTTAAAAGGTTCCAGAAGCTTTCAGAATTTTGAAAGAAATGGTGAATCCATGAAAGAATATGATAAAATCAAATATCATCCAACTATAAACTGTTCAAGTTTTGGAAAATTTCATGAAACCCATCTCGAGAAATGGGAGGATGTGGTGAAGCATTTGAGCCGTAAAAAGTAGCCTTTCCGAGGTTTAACCTTCTAAAAAAAAATTAAAAAAAAAAAAAAAAGGGAAAAAGAAAGTAGCCTTTCCTTCTTTTCCTTGAATAATTTACATTCGATTCTCTCTCTCTTCTCCCCCACCCATCCCCCTCCCCTCCACGTGCCGGCACGTGTTTTTGTGTGTGCTTGCACATGCACATACTCGCATAGAAGATATCACTTATGCAAGTTAGTTTTGGAGATGACATGTTTTTCCTTCGTTATGCAAAACTTATTAGGGTAGTGTGATCATGATCCCAAAAACCTTGCCTTGTGCTGATTTTTTGGATTGAATCATCTGGATTTTCTTTGGAAGTGGAGTCGTTTCCGTACTCTACTTTTTACGCTTGATGTATCCTTCCCTCCACACACACTGAGCACACTTGTGCATTGCGTTGATAGAAACAAGCTCAGGATTCTATTGAATTCTCTTTTTGATATACAACAATTCGGATTGTGGAAACCATTGATTATAAACAACTTGAATCGTGAAAACTGTCAATTATGTGTTCTAATGAGGTCTTGATCGTGTTTTTTACCGGTTTTTGCAGGCCACTTTTGAGGATGGCATGGTTGAAGAAGCCATAGCTAGAAACCACAGCACAACAAAAGAAGCAGTTGAAGTGGGAGCGAGCGCAGGAGCTTACAGGGTTGTATTAACACATTTCAGCCAAAGATACCCCAAAATCCCAGTTTTCGACGAAACCCACATGCACTCCACTTGCATTGGTTTTGACATGATGAGTATTAACATTGCAGACTTGCCATTGCTTCCTAAAGTAGTCCCACATCTAAAGCTTCTATTTAAAAATGAGATGGTTTCCGATGAAACTGAAGAGATTTTGGATCTAGAACCAGCAGTAAATCAATAAGTTTGAACTCTGAGTTTCTTGTATTTTTGTAATTTTTCTGTTTCTTTTAAATTTAGCTGTAGCCTCTCTTTAGCTTCTGTTAAAAAGTGAGATGGCTATGAACGAAATCTCAGAGATGTTGAATGTAGAAACCAGGGGAGGTGGTTAACTGATCATCAATTTGGATGGGAATAAGTTGGGACCCAAAACCGGTTCGGGATGATATGGGTCCCCGTGTTCCCCTAAATACCCTAATTTTATTTTTATTTTTTTTAATATTATCTAACGTTTTTTAGGTTTTCTTAAATAACCACCTTATAAATCCCTATTATAATTTTTATTTATTTTTTAATGTTTTTTGGATCATCGATGCGGATCAATCCAAAGTTGATCTAGATCGCCCATCCATAAGTCTACCGGCCGGTTCTGGTTCTTACCGACCGAATTTGATTGCATGCGATGGAAGTAATAAATAACTTGTAGTCTTCTGTTGGTTAGCTATGAGAATAGGGTGTGGTTTTTATAAGGTTGCAAACAATCTAATTTGGGCGCTTCTCTAAATTTTATCATAACATGCAATTTTGTTGAAAAAAATTATTAGGATTATCTCAAAATCTATGTTTATATCTAATTATAAAATTTTAAACTCTAAAAATAGTTAAAATCAAGTGGATTTATAAACCAGTGTTCGCAAATTCGGTCGGTAAGAACCAGAACCGGACGGTTAGATCGTTACCGGTGGGGTGGGGAATCCGGTTAGGGCATAACGGCCGTTATTTGACACATACCCGTTATTTTCATAGATCAAGATTTTGCAGCTTTTTTTTCTTTCATTTTGTAGTTTTTTTTTGTTTTTTCAATCAAATATTGATGTTATACACCGTAAAGTTTCTATAGATTATCTATTATTGAATCAAAAGTCGAAAAACAAAGAGTTCTTGGAGGATTGAAATGGTGATTTTTGAAAATTATAAATTTCCATCATTCTATCAAATATAGCTTTAATACCTTATAGATTTCATAAAAATGGAGGGCTTTGATTGATTGTTTAAGGATTCAATGTTTGCATATTTCAAATTTTCCAAAATGATGAAGATTTGAGGTTTTTTTGGGCCTGAAGTGCTGCTGCTCGATGAACTGTTTTTATCCAAACAAATTGATTTCTAATCAATCAATTGATCGATTTTTATCGAATTAATCACTGAAGTTTGATCATAAAGTCTTTATCTATCAAATAACTATTGATTAAATTTTTTTATATCAATTTTTTTTTGCTGCGTTTTTTCCTGAAATTTTTGTGAAGTAAAAAATTCGTAACTTTTTGAATAAAGATCTCAATAGTGAATAAGTTTTCATGAAATTTGGAGCATTTGAATCTTAATTGAAGTATCTATCATATCCCCATATCAATTTGTTCAAAAAATGAAAGATTTGGGGTTGATTTCGACTCTAAAGTTTCTATATTCTTTGGCTCGATTTTAAAGTTCTTAAAACAATTTTTTTTTAATAAAATTATGTTTTGTTTTTATAAAAATATGAAATTTGTGATGAATATGAGAAAAAAGGAATATATTATTTTTTTTAAAATTTATATATTTTTGGTGAGCTTGTTGGATTGTTTTTAATGTTATATTTTTTTTTACAAAAATATGTTTATTTGTGATGAATATGAGGAAAAAATTTGTTTCTTTTTAATGTTATACATTTTTGGTGAGCTTGTTGGATTGTTTTTAATGTTTTATGTATTTTTTATAAAAATTATTTTGTGATGAATATGAGAAAAAAATTATTTATTTTTAAGGTTATTTTTGGTGTATGTTACTGATATCTGTGTTCTCAG